GAAAATTTGGAACTGAACACAGGAAAAAATAAGGGATTCCCATTTTGGATATTTTAGGGTATTTAAAGAATACCCAAAAAAATCCCAAATTTGGCAAAGCGAGGCAAGTCCCAGCCAGGGAATTCCCAACCAAGTTCCCTGATTGGGACTTGTCTCACTCTTCCAATAAATTTGGTATTTTTGTGGGTATTCTTTAAATACCCTAAAATATCCAAAAATGGGAATCTGTTATTTTTTCCAGTGGAAGTTATTGTCGGTTGCAAATCTGTGAATCCAATGACATGATCTAAAGTGAAACAGGCAAATTTGACCGTTCGGCCTTGCCTAGTCTATAGGCCTCATTATTCCGCGCGGCCAAAGCGTTTCGGGTCACGTTGTCCAAGCGAAAATGTGAGGCGTTTCCCGCCCGTTGGCCTCGGATACGTCACCGAAGTGAGTTGACCGAGAGGGACTGGGAAAACGCCATGCAGAGACTCGGCAACGTTAGGTCTTTGTAGCTACTTAAAAGTTTTTGAGACAATTGTATCGCCCGGCACCATGCTTTATAGGCAGACAATAATACACAGGGACAACCCTTAAGTTAAAATATAACATGTGATATAGGAAATAAATAGTTACCCTTGGAGCACTTAGAAGGAACGCGTGACGCACGCCTAAGAACAGGGCAGATAAATGTGTTTATCCGCCCTGAGAATGTCTGCGGGAGAGTCTAGGGAGCGCTCGGTGCCCTCTGTTTGATCCTTTCGAGAGAGAGCCTGGGCCAGAGAATAATCGTACACACCCGCGCCGCAGTACCTACAATCAGCGGTATTTTCTCAATCCAAGATGGCGGACGGGAGTTCAACTAATGTTTTGTTCGATTCTGTTCGATTTGTTTTAAGCAATTGGGCAGTATTGCAGCTCGCTGTTGAACATTCATTTGGAGGAATTGACAGCAGAGAAAAAGCGGAATGGATGGTTGATGTTGTAGACCAAGTTCTTCGAGAAAACGGTTTGTATTCTCAGCACGTTTAATTTGTGCGTTGTTATAAACTCGATCGAATAGTCAGTCAATCGAAATATTATCATTCGGTAATGACCATACTGGCGTGCTAATAAATGGTTGGGTATTCTTATACAGCCCATTGCCTCAGAGTTACTGGAGGGCAGGGTTAAAGATAAAAAAGAAGTGGAACATCTCTGGATGAAATATGGGCCTGGGGTGGCTGTGCTATTACACAGGGTATGTTTCCTCCTTTGCCTCTCTGTGCTGTACTGGGAGAAGTGATGTGACACTGCAGGGTTTCTTGTAATGCAGGTATCAAAGTTCAGATGGAGAGGTTGGGGGGGGGGTATGGGCCAAAATGCGGCATTTGAATTTTTTTGCAACTTTTTGGTCAAATTCCTGTCTCTTGAGACTGGAAAATAGTTCAAATTTGATAAAATATCCACACCTGGGGATAACAAAACCATGTAATGACTTTCAAGGGCCCAACAGCAACAAGATTTCAAAAAGGTCAAATCTAATCCACTTTCTTCTCTTTCTTCTGCCCGATATTAAACATATGAAAATACTTGTATCCCAAACTGAATCCAACTGTCAGTTGAAAGTTCATTTAACAAGCCTAGATGATTATTTTGGCTACTCATTGTGAATTAAACTGGTTTTAAGGTCACCAAAGTAAGCTAAGTTATTGTGACACCGCTCCTTGATTTATAATATCTGAAACCAGTCACTTCAACGATTCTAAAAGGCTGAAAATCCAGCTTTGGTTTCACCAAAATGAAATTATTACAATATGCTTCAAACAAACTTTACATTATGCTGAATACGAGATGGAACGCTGTAGCAGTATTGCATTATAAAAATATAATGATTAACCCTTTCACTACTACAGGCTAATGGCCCCCAACCCCCCATCTTCCTGAACAATTATCAAGGATCTAAGATGGCTGTGATACTTAATCAAAACATGCATGCTCAGTAGATTTCAGAGCCTTGTTTCACACAATTAACTACACAGACGTGAAGCCAAGAAGTCATTCCATAAGTTTAAAGAATTAATAAAGACAACTATCCCTGCATTCACAAGATATTTAAGATAAAATCCCAAGTAACGAAAAAAATTCAAATTTGCCGCCATTTGCAGTGCCTATTGTCAAACTTTGAATGAAAATTTATTTGTAATCCATCACAATATAGCTTACTTTTTTATAGCAAAACAAGGGAAATTATTAGAATATAACAAATATGCCAGATTTGTGTTCACAAAAGTGAAATTTTTATGACTGTGTGTGTAAGGCATTGTCATAGCCTGTTCGGCATAGTGCCACGTTGCAAAATGCTATATTCGTATCTTGTTTCCACTTTGTAGCCCTTGGGTGTTCTTCGCCCTGTTTATTCACTGTACACATTTCCTTTTTCTACCCTCCATACGAGCTGAAACATACTGATTTGAGGGTACAGCATGGTTCAGTTTGGAATCTTGTTCCATCTACGCTTTCGCTTTCATTGCAATAAACCATCGATCGTTGGTGTGCGAGGTCAAGTTTGAAATCAAGTGTTTTGCGCTTCGATCCAATGCGTTCCGATTCAAGAACAAAAGCATTAAAAACAAATACATGAAAGAAGAACCAAAAGATGTATCTATACCACCTCTTTGATTGCTACTCCGAACAAGTAAAAAGAATGAAGCTGATCAGCACGATCCACGCCGCCCATGCGAGAAGTGTAAACATCTGAAATTGAAACTCTCGGGTTCATCACTTGCGGTTGAGTTGTTGTCGCTTTTACTGTCTTCAGACTCACTTTCGTCGCTTTCTTCCTTAGAAAATTCTTGCACTTCGATGTCAGATAACTCTGCATCAACATTCAAATCAGTAGAACTTAAATTACTCTTACCATCATCTTCCGAACCAAAAATCGTATTGATTCGGCGGCGGCCATATTGATAAACAAAGACAAAATACAAACCTAAAGCACGTTCAAATTTACTGAATATCTATAATTATATTATAACTAGCGAACTAAATTCTCTTAAAAGCAAATAGACAAAAGAAGGAAATGCTCAACCATCTGGCTTTTGGTGTGTTTTATGGCATGAGAGAAATCCAGTATACAAATTGCGTGCGTAGGTTCACGCACATACGTCTTCGTAGCGAAACCAAACTTCGGCCCTTCACTACTGGCCTCATGCAATAGTTTTGTATGTGCACTTCTTGTGATTTGATTGGTTTATGCCTGCCCATAACAATAGAACAATAAGTATTGACAAAGACTGCGTTACCTAGGGTATACAGCGCATTTTTTTGCACCCTTTTCTTGTGGCCGCTTTTGGTCGCTCTAGGAAAAATTGGCCATTTCCGGCTGGCCGCTTTTGGCCGCTTTAGTAATGAAAGGGTTAATACATGCCAGCTTCACACTTAGTGATATTTTCTGAGATGGTGTCTCCTGGAAAACAAGTTTAGGACCCAGTCCTCTGCACTGTCAAATTCAAAATAATATCAGCAGCATGGGGCAAGATTTGTGGTCGAATTCCCCAGAGAGGGGGACAGCAGAAGTGGTCAAATGCTGCACCTTTGCCCATATCCCCCCCCACCCCACCCTCTCCGTCTAAACATTGATACCAGCATAAAGAAACAGCCAAACAAGAACAACAACAAACTAACCCCTTATTAGCCTGTGTACAGATTTCCCTCTGCTCAGAAAAAATCGGAGAAGAGACATCTGTGAATCGTCATCGTTAATCGTGTTCCGGTATACATTCAACTGGCAGAGAAAAACAAAAACAAAATTAAATTATGCTTATTTTGCATAATTTTTTTTGTTTTTGTTTTTTCTCTGACACTTGAAAAGGTGTTGACAGACCAACACGACTCTGGACTCTTGTACAGCACGTATGCAGTTATTGGACATTCTCAACCTTTATAGCTAAGCTAGGCTCTAACTAGAATATCTAGTTATAATGAGTATTTTATTCTCTGGAAGATTCAAACACATTCTTCAGTCATTTTTTAGCTCATAAAGTCAGTCTGTTTCTGTGCATCGATTTCCTGTGGTTTTTAGTTTGGGAGAATTTTGATCTGTAAAGCACTGTTTACATTTCCAGTCAAGCGTTTTATGCAGGAGTTGATCCAAGATCGTTCACTTCTCTTCATCAAGAAATTACAATAAATTTATAGCCTTACTTTTGCCTAATTCTTTGAGTCATAATCGACACATGTACCCCAAAAATTGCCCTGGCGTCTGTACATGGGCTAGCCGAACATCTTTACGCAATGTTCACACTAAAATCCAGATACGATCTCTAATTAAGCGTTGAATTCTGTACATCCTTCTCTTGTTATTTAAAATACCAGCCGGCAGAGAAAGACGCACCAGCAATCGGTACAGCCTGAAACATCGGTGCCTATTCCAGAGACCCAAAATACAAGTAAATAGATATAAACGTGCTAAGCTGTCCACGAAGGCTGAGTTTTTCCCCAGGGAATCTATTCTGAGGTTCATTCACCAATAACAACACCCGAAATTATTTGTGTCATGGCATTAACATTACAACCAATCGGAGGCTGTCCCCAACATTGCTGGGAAATGGGAACACAATTATAGCGGCGATTCACAGACATCTCCTCTCCCGATTTTTCCTAAAGGGAGGGGGGACGTCTGTAGACAGGCTAACCCCTTATTAGACAGAAAAATAAATACATGTATATTGCAGCTTAGGTAGCAATAATCGGCAAGGTTAGGTTAAGTTTTACAAGGCTTTCTCTGTTCTTTTGTAGAGACTATAGAAAATGATGAATTAGAGAGTTATATCGAAGAAATTTTGTTCAATGAGTTTCACACAATGGCTGAAGATGGAAGCCTACCCAAGGTTAGTTTTAGTGACTATAACACTGTACAATCACTACATAAACATTTGCATCCTTGTTATCGTCTAGATCTTCATAAACATCATCATTATTATAATGATATGTCTGTCTCCGACCTTATGGGAAACACTAAATAACTGAATAAGTTA